GAAGTTTGGTCAACCCGGCTATAAAAAAGTCACAATTCACCGGCCAATGATGGCCTAAACTTTTTAACTGACAGCCCCAAACTTTTTAAGTAACGCCCAGTAACTTTTTTTTTTTTATAGTAAAGTTCCGATTTCGGAGTCCCCGGCCCCAAATATAAGGCCTATGGCTGGACCACTGCTCATAAGAAGCGTAAATGCAAGAAATCTTGCTCTACACCTAGGCAAGATACTTCTTCATTGGATTTGATGACAGCGGTCTGCTCTTTCAGAGACGCTGCCCACTTTAGCCAGCCGCCTTGAGTCAATCTCCACTCCCACCGGTGACTGCCTTGGATCCAGATGCCCTGTGCGAGGGTCTTCTTCCAGATTCTTACCTGGATTTGAGGCCAACTCTGCTTGCGATTTTGGGTCCAGTTTCATCTGCGGCTTCACATCCAGCTCTGTTGGTCTGTCTAATACACGACAGCGCCCATTTACATGTGTATTTTTTTAATTGAATTTGCGTTTACTAAATTCATTCAATAATAGTTCTTCAAATACCCAGGTTCTACTTACAACTCACATCTAGCTCCACCCCTATGCCTCTGCCTTGATCTGTCCACTTTTTGGGGCGTCAAGACGTGCAGGAACTACTTGTACTCTCTACTGGGCTGCCTTCCGTTATTTGCTTGTGCGGCCCCTGGTGATTGTGAGTCTAGGTCACCCATACTAAACCCTGACCGTGGCTCAAACGATTGCTCATAGGCCTATCGCTACACTGTGTATCAAAACGCCGGTTAGCACCTGAAATCCCCGTGCTGGGGGCCAGCTAGGTGGAAAACAGAGAAATCTGCGCTCCAGGTATTGCTTCACTTTTTTATGGAGCTGTTCCAGTGAATAAAACGTGATACGATCAGCCTACCATGTGTGTTTTATTCTGACCACATGTATTCTGTTCATTAATTAATGCCTGTAGTAGATGTCATCGCCCTACCTGCAGACCCATCGAGCCCTTTGATGTCTGAAACTTTGTCATCGGAGGCACTCAGGCGTGTAACAATCAACTGCGATCTCTGGACAGGCCCCCCTTTATCTCTGACTGGTGATCACGCCATTCAATTCAGTATCCATTCCTTGAGCATCCTAATTCGCTGAATTTCACATCGTCGTGAATTCTACTTCCTCATTTCATCTAATAGTTCTCGACTCTCCATATATTCTTCCGCTTGGCCTGGCCATGCCCCACATTGCTTTCCAGACATGAGTTCTTCTGTAGGGTGTGCGTCCAAAGAGTTTATACTGTGACTGTTACTTGACTGAGATCTGACAAACGTATGCCTTCTGGCGGCTCTCACTTTTAATCACGGTTTGCCACGTTTGCCTTTTCAGACTGCGCCCCGTGTAATCAAAACGAAAAGGAGGACTTGGCAAGTTTTTGTTGATTTTACCATTTATCCACTCACGATCTCTATTCCAGTGGGTAAATGGAAATGTTATAATGATTCGATGTAGGATGAAAGTTTTTGGTTATGGAGCAGTCTTCCATCTTTGGGCACTCCTTACCTGCAGTTTTTCTATTTTTGCGAGGCATACGGAATGATCTGAATTCCCCTTGCATGTAATGACGTGGCCGTAGTCCTCCAACTTCAGGATACAAATGCCAACATCGAACATAGTACACTGTAACAGGGCTCACTATTCTTTTCTTATAATGAATACTTCAGCTTATGTTTACATGTTGGCCGACCTCCCTACGCAATCACCTCCGGTGGTGAACCATCACTTAACACCTGCCGGCCTCCCCTTCATACCGCTAGGTCTGGATGTAACTGTAACGACAGACGTGTCGCCATTCAGATGGGGCCTTTCTTCCTCCACTCCATGCCTCTAGGGTCTGGGACACCACTTCTTGAGACAAACAGATTAACAGGTTGGAGCTCTAAGCTGTGTTCCCCATTGCGCTCTTCACCACTTCTGACAGCACCTAGTAAGCTGTTCCCTTCAAGTCCAGTCCAGCCATTCCCGCCATCCTTCCCCACTTTGACTCCGGTGGTTTTCACCGCTTAGAGAAGAAGGACAAACATGGTGACAGGATCGTAGTGCATTGTGGAGGGTCAAGGGGCAGCATGCATAATCGAGTCTTTTTGGCAAATTTTAATAGGCACATGGGAAATTTCCATATGTAGCCTGGCAGGGGTAAGTGTCACTAGGAGACCTGACCCACACTAATGTGGGGAGGAATTTGAATGTTTGAAGGGCCTGTGATTTGAAGTATTTAAATGTAGTAAACAGAATGGATTGTGCATTTTACAGCAACTGACACGTTAAGAATACTACAAACCTTAGATCAAGGGCATAAATCCTGTAGGGGATGGGGTAGAGGATTTATTAAAATTCACTTGATGTAACTGCATAGGTTCAGGTTTAAATGTTTCAGTGGAGAATTTATATCCATAGCTTGGATTTCTGTGCTTTTATGTGTTTCTGATTTGTTGTTCTTTGTATCAACCACTTGTCGCCAGATGACAAGTAAACACACAAAATTTTCCTTATTTGTTTCATGGAGGACATATACACTCATTTAACTTTTTTTTTCATTTCCAGTTGAAGTATCAGTCAATCAATGTTGGTTTATTAACATACCCTCCTTTAGTAACACAAGACTGAATTGCGGTTGAATTACAACATTAAAAAAGATAAAGAGAGCATATAGAAAACTTTTATCATTAAAATGAATGAAAATATGATGGAAACGTATATATAAATATACATCCACATGGGGGAGTCAGGTTGGTGTAATGGCTCTTTCCTCGCCTTCCACCTCTGTGGCCTGGGTTCGAATCCCACCTTGGTTAGCATGTGGGCTGGGTTTTCAGTCCCTGCTTGATTCTGTGGATTTTCCCTGAAATACTTATCCGGGGTTTTCCTCCTACCTCTAAAACTGATCATTTCTTCATTAATGTAATTGGGGCTAAATGGACTGTTGGATGACCAGATATTAAAATAAAAAAGGATTTACACTGGAGGTGAAATGAGAAAATAAAATGGAATTGAAATGAAGGCAGAAAGGAACAGTGACGGAATAAAAACAAAAATCAAGCAAACTTTTAAAGGAACATGTATTAACGGTACGTATTAACGTCAATGTCAACGTGTTGGGTCAAAGCATGGAAAACAATCGTACGTGTGGACGATGCTACTAAGTGGACCCCCCACCCACCCACCCACAAATATCCGGAAATGCCTTTTGTTAATAATTAGAATTGAATTGGGGAGCACACATTCACAAAGAACTAAGAGGATTAAAGACCTCCTTTGTTTGGGTAACCTGATTTTCCAGGAAACGATATACAAAAGAGATAAGGTTACAAAATCCCAACTACAGGTAGCAGCTCTTTTGCATCAAAACAATTTGCAAAAACACACATGGCCATGGGTGACACCTTTTATGTGCTGTTGACCTTTTGTATGTGAGCCGGTTGACGTCTGGACACAAGCCTCAATTTTTACCATGGCAGTTGAAAAATGGCTGAACAGAAGAACTCGGGGAAAAGAATGAAAATACTGATGCCTAAACTCAAGAATTGTGCCTCCCTCCATATTTTATGGGTGCCAGAAATAACTTACAAGGTTTAAGAATTAGGGAAAAAGAAACCTGCCCCCAGCCGCTTTTTCGATAAAGAAAAACCAAACATTAACTGGTTAATCTGAGAAGTATACACAACTGAATATGCAGCATGCAAACATTTTTGGGAGTAAGCTCTAAGAAAATTTATGCAAGTAGAAATCACTGCTTCAATGAAGTAAAACACACTGTTGTATATATACCAATTAATTTGATTTAACACTGATTTTTATATACTGTTTATATTTATACTGTTTTGTTATACTGTTTATCATTCCACTTATGTAACTCAAGCCCCATAGCTTGGGAAACAATTGTCATATTTAAGTTTCTCAATAAGTAGAATAGTCTTGGCGTCCTCTAGACACCTGAGAAGTCATGAACCTGTGCATCAGCTATGTTATACTTCAGGGCTTAAATTTGGGTTGTACTAAACTGTAAGATTGACTAATGTTCTGTTTTATTTATTCCTGTTGCAAAGAGGTCAGTAGTTACTGGAATTGCCCCAAGAAAAAGTAGTGTAATCATTGTGGCAGCTTCCTAGGGTGCATGCTATTATGCTTGTGAACTTACATGTACCAAAGCTGATCCCTTAGATATATCTGTAAGATGTACAATTGTTTGTATTGTTTGTGTTATGGTAGTTTTATGCATCGAGAAATGAAGTGGGAAGCTACACTTAATTTATCATTACAAAGTTATGCTTATTTTCAATCATTTTTTTTGCAAAACTGGTATCTCTCATGAACTGTTTCTTTGTGTCCCACACCCATATTTAAAAAAAAAGTGGGTTAGTTAATTACAAAGGTCCATATAAGGCCCTTTTTTCTGAAGATGTTTTTTTTTTCATTTTTTGAACATTGTTCAATTGCTGTAATGTGATATACTCATTTACACAACACATGTCAAGGTTTTCCATAAATAGGATGTTCTGGCGCATAGTGCTGTGTGCTAAAGACAATTATTACATGCTTCCTAGAAACAAAAACAAATTTTGGTATGGAGAACCGAAGTGAATATATCACGTGCACAATTATGAGTTTGAAAGGCATATAATACTCTATATAACAGTGAGGGAAGAATTGTGGGTCAAGAAGTGACTCATCTTTCAACCTATAGATGTCGTCACTATTTGTATGAAACCAACTTGTGAATAAAAAATTGTTTATCAAATTCATTGGTGTGAGTAGAAAAAATCATGACATTTTTTCCCTTAATTTTTCATGTAGACAGTTTCTCGGTAAAGAAGCTTCAATTCTTGTATGTCTGGAGGAAATGGAAGAGCTTTGTCAGAAGGTTTTTATTAATGCTCTGACTGTACTTGCTTCCAAGTTAGTGGAAAAGGTACGTATAAAAATTATCAACATCAGTGTGGCTTCCAGGAAAAGGGCCAACAATTTCTCTTCTCAATTTTATTGTGTGACAGTTTCATCTCAATTTTCCAGAAATACTTTCTGAACAGTTAAATAATTTGATTTGACACCTTAAAGACTAATCCAATTAGACACCATAACCGCAGTGGCACCGCACTCACACGCACATGCTTCAGCTTGACACGCACGTGCATGTGCCAAATCATGACACCCTGTTGGTTGAAGAAGCATGTAACGCGCGTATACCACCTGCCCACGAGCGTTTTGCCACCGCAGTAATGGCTTCAAATTCTAGTGGTCAAATTACAGTAAAGAGTGCCCTGGCAGCATTCCTTGAGTAAACATTGTTGAACAAACACACAAGGATATTGGTTTTGTGCATGGAGGCTGATGACACCTCGAGCCATGCCTTTCATGCGAGCTATGAAATGACCAAAATTGCGTGCATTATTTTCTCAGTAGTGAAATATGGATGCTAGGAGGTATGTGCACTGAAGAAGTTGTGTTACTCCTTGGACTTGACTATTCTGCCTTCGGCTCATGGAGTCAGCAAAATTAGTGTGTTTTTAGTTACACTATTCTGTTTATGCCAAATGCATAATTTAGAGTTAATACATGCACATTGTAATATAATGCATTGCATTGAAATGTTCATGCTTTGTTCATGCCGTGATTTGAGCACGGCAGAAACCAAAGCGAAACAAGAACAATGACCCAGCATGTACACACAACAGGACTCGCTAATGTGTGCTGTAATACTGTGCCTGTCTGATGGACAACACAGAGTGCCTACCATAAAAGCTGTTAGTTCAGGGCAAAGGTGTACAGTTTGTAGAGGTGGTGTAAACATCCGTAAAATTATTGCGAGATATACAGCGTGATATAACTTCACATGCTTGCTCCTTAACCACTACCAGCCGGGGACTCCGAAATTTGAGCCGTATGGTTTAAATGCGTGGCCGGGGTCTCCGAACTGGGACAAAGGAAACAGGGCCCTGTAACAAAAGTCCGTACTCCGAACAAAAGACCAGGCTGCTGGGTATTACCGGCATTTTTCACTCTCAAAAGTGGTCATAATCCAGCGTTATTTTGAAACCGTATACCAGGGTTTGGGGCATTGAGAGCAAGCGGATTACCAACAGGGACAAAAGCGCTCCACCACTGCAGCGATGAGCCACACAGCACCGCTGCACGCTAATCTGGCCCCTATTGAAAAGAGGTCAGCAGTGCACTGAGCCAGGTTCGCGAACAAAAGACAGTTGTATAACACCGCACAGNAAAGATTACTTTGTGCGGCTATAAATGACCGTTAAATGGAATGATGAATTTTTGAAGGATTTTGAAAACGGAAAAAAATGATAGTCATGCCGGCCCAGCATCATCAACGTTGAAAAATGCCCCGGCATTGTCCGAATTTTTCAATTATTCCACACATCTACTGGGTTTCCCCAAGGTCTTGCACAAAGAATTTCAGAAATACCTCGTTTTGTTCAAAAGATACTTGAAAAGAACGTTTGAATTTTGAAAAATAAAAAAAATCATTATAAAATCAAAAGGTGACATCATCATGATGTCAACAATTTTCACATACAACAAAGCCTATTGTGTGTCTGCACCAGGGTTGAACCCAGTTGGACTAATAGTTCTAGAATGCTAGTTGCCAAAGAACTCACCAATGACTTGAGCAATTTTCAAATCACATGTACAAATTAGCTGTGTGAGGTTTGCCTCATATATTGCATATACCTGTCAGCTTTGGTATGAAACAACACTCCTTACAGCTAAACACCACAGCCGTAATAGAAATTAATATATATTAAATGGAACCAGAGTAAACTAAACAGAACAACAACAAGCTCAGGCAGAGAATGAGGATGACACAGCGTATTAAACATTATCAAAAGCAAAAACTCCTAAATGCATCAACCAGGGTGACGTCCTTCAGAACCCAACTGACAGATGAAATCGCATTTGCAAAGTGTACACTGAGACTGATTAGCAACCTGACAAAGAACAGGTAAGTCTCAGGAAATTGTTTTGCTAATTAATTGAGGGGTTTAGTCATGTGTGCTGGCTTGGGTGCGTTAATGAAATAATTTTCAGACAGACAAACAGAACTCATTCTAGAGACGCCCATTCGAATGACACCTGTTAATATAAAACAAGAAAACATGGAATAAGTTAAGATACATGTAGCTGTAAAGATAATAAGTAACCATGGACACGACTTGGAAAGCAAACATGATTTATCATGGTGCTGTTGTAGGCATTCCTTGGATGGGTTAAGATTAAATCTCTGGATCTGGATAAAGATTTGATTGCAGAATATGCCACCAAACCGATGGCTGTGATCATCAGTGCATTGGCAGTAGTGAAGCCTGTCTAACCAGGTAATTTGCCCCATCCCCTGACCGGCTTTCGACCAATAAGAAGGCCAGATTCCGTCCCACTTGACCCTCATTAGCATAAAATGTGGAACGGGAATATTCCATTGTACATGGGGGTGTAGGTGTAGGGGTGTAGGGCTGTGGTAGCATTTTAAAAATACAGGAACATACATTTACAGTGTATTGTGGCGAGTGACGATTGAAAGACTGTGATGGCTTCTGAATTTCATATAGTGACTGATTTTCATTGTATTTGGACAGAGGCCTAATGTCTTCTTTAAATCTATATAGATCCCCTAAAATCAAAGAAAAAACTTCTAAAAGACCCTGTGCAATGTACCTGGTATTGATACGGCACACTATTCAATCCACCGTTTTCTTTCTAATCCAAAGAATGCAGCATTTGGCTAATCGATTATAATCACATAACCTGCATTGAACATACAATGTTTCGTGGATAAAGTACATGGAAAGTATTTATCCACGGAACATGGCAGTCACTGGATGTTTGTGTCTATACAATCATTTATGAAATTTTGTGGGGTTTTCGATAGTGTAGTCTTGTTAACGTAAAAGGTTTCCATAATGGTATTGTGCTGGGGTTCAAACGTGGAACTAAGAGCTTTGACCCCTCTTGGTGACATTGTGGCTATGACTTACTCCATTCATAAAAAATAATCCTGTCCCGTGTAATGGGCCGGTCTGTGTTTACCGCCTCAAACAAAGTGGTGGGTTCTAAGCAAGATCATTAGCCTTCAGCTTTAGAGAAACTAATCCTTCAGATATTAGCGGTTGTTCCACATAGAATCAGTGATATAGTTCCGTGTCAATATAGACTTGTCTTATCAACGTGAGACTTTTTTCCCATTATCAACATGATACGTTTTGCTCCAAAGTTTCCAAGCTCTGCCAAAACAACTGGTTTACTGAGAAATAACACTTTACCCTGCACCTCAGAGAACATGCATGTGTGTTCAGAGTGTTCTTAAAACGTCACTGTCACCCACCAACCACAATTACTTAAAATCGTACCCGATCAACAGTACATTTCAGTTGTATTCCCTACAAAAGATGCAGAGGTATAGGACACGACACGACGGTTGTGTTTGCCTATCGATTTCAACCTCAAACAAGGTAACAATTAGTAAACCTGTATATAGTGCAAGTGGTTCCTAGTGTTTGAACTGCGTGAATAACCTCGTAAGGTTCGGCTGAGGTCATGCTTTGTTTCCATCTAGACTGCCGTACCATACGTCTTACATTTTTCCCATTTCTCATTCAATTCGAAATTTATTGTTCCCCTTTGTACACTTTTACAAGAATGCAAATAATTTAACTACAAATATGTACATATTTATGAATTTGTTGATTTGTATTTTAACACTGTTATTGTTTGAAAACAAGCTAGAAATGTATTTGGCTCAAAGTAGGAAGTTCGACTTCATCGCATAATTTTTTACAATATACAAACCCCACGGTGATACACTTCGATGTGATAAAAGTTCACTAACTATTCAAGTTACAAACAGTGGATTAGCAAAATGTTACTACTCTCAGTCATAAACATACGGTAGAATAACACTTAATAAAGTAACACAGAGAGTGGCCAAATCAAAAGCGCTTCTTAATTTTTATCTAACAGATTGAAGTGTACCAGTGACCGAATAATGTCCATTCAATCGACATTCGATTAATCAATCGATTAGGCCCTTGGACTTGAACTGCAATTTTTCGTCGCTTTAGATACAAATCACAATGTACATGTTTAGCTGCAATCATGTAGACTCGACACAACTACTTAAGCGTTGCTCTTACCTTTTCGGGTGTAACAGTCAAATCACTAACATCACTGTTATAGGTTCATCACTGTTATTACATCGAGTGCAAATGTTTGAAATGGCAGTTTCCATTGCAGAGTTTTTGCTCTGTTAGTGTAGTGTACATTGCAGTTCACTTTAAAATTAAATGCAACAATTAACTTTTTGTCCAAGATGTCACTCTTTCGTATATCAAAAGGTTTTGACTTTTTAAAATCATCAATGCGTCAAAGGAGTGGATGAGGTATACATAAACACGTAAAGGTCAAGAGGTGAAATATTAAAAGCCATAAGGCACAGTGTCGTAATTCTTGAGTGGCACTCGCTTGGTGTAGACCACCTGATAAAATCTCATTTCCTCTTTGGTCTCAATATTCACAGTTTTCTTGTTATTTTGTACGGATCAGTCACTTGTACTTAACTTGGGCCCTCTCTGCGCGCCATTTGAGACATAGTGTCAAAATTAACGAGGAAATGGTTCCTGTAATTCAAAGTAATGCCTCTGACCTTACAAGGAGTCAGATTGCCACTCTTGTCTGGTTTGGATAATTTGTAACCATAATTCTTGGGACCTCCTGACACAGACGTAACAATATGGTTATCTGTCTCCAACTCATTGGTCAGCTCGCATAGGAAATTGCCAATATCCGGCTCCCATTCACCCTCTCGACTGACATAAATCACGCTGTTGGTATCGTAATACAGAACCCTACAATCAAGTTTTTCCAACAGTTTATAACAACTTAAGTCGAGCTTGACACATCGTA